TAAGAATGAATCTTTTCTTATGGACTCAAACACGTTTTGCTGAAAAACTGAATATGGAACAAGCAAAGCTTAATACTAAACAATATATATTAGCTGTATAACACCAGCAGGCCAGCTCTGATAGTAATTTGGCTTCACGGGCCAGAGTTTGACACCGACGCTCTAGTGCTTCACTTTAACCTGCTGATGCTGTATCGCACTGGGAGCCTGATGTCACAGCATCACTGGGACCATCAATCTGACACATCAGGAGCTGCTGCTGTAAATCTGTGACGACTAATAAAGTTTGTTGTGAGCAGGACGAGTGTGCAGCTCGTTATAAACTACAAACAGCTTCATCACCTGCAGTCTGAGGGGCCGCGGCGGTCTTTGTCGTCGAGGCTGTTGATGTGTGAATTTGTGGAGCTGAAACAGTCGTGCAAACACTCGTTACCATCATGAATGTAAAAGTTCAGGCAGACAGTTTAAAGTCTGAGAATCAAACGAACGAGCGGCTGTTTGATCCTCAGCTGCAGACTCACCTGGGACAACAGTCAGGTCGATGTGATGCTTCTCATCGTTGAACGGCCCGGGTATCTCCACCCTGCAGCCGTATCGTCCAGCGTCTCCCTCTGTGAGGTTCTTTATGGTCAGAGAGACGTCTCCGTCCTCCAGTCGGCCCAGCAGCTCATACCTGCTGGGAGCTCTGGTTTCCACTCTGACTCCATCTGTGGAGATCAGCTGATTGGAGCACTTGTTGGGCGGTATTTCTCCTCGCTGCCAGCACACTTCCACGGCGCCGTGATATTTCCTGTCATATTTACAGGGCAGAGTGACGTCCTGACCTGTGTGACCTTTGACCTCCACGCCGTCACATTCACAGACTGGAAACAGAAACACAGGAAAACTTTGTTACATCAGATCCAAACTCTGCTCAGATCAGGTCAATGTCATCTTCACTGGTTTCACTGGTTCCAGTAGCCTCAGCGGTGCAGCCTGGGACATCTCACTCAGCTCCATGAAGTCGTCCCATCAAACACTTACACAGACCAGTTCAGGCTGCAGACTGGGATGAAACCAGGTTTCATGTGTGTTCCTCTACAGGTGACCCGGTAACAACCACACGCTGGTCTATGACCAGCTGAGACTGAAGCTGAGCAACTAACCTCAAACACCAGACTGACCTCTGACCCCAACACGCTCTGACAGACACATCAGCAGGTGAGACTCACACTCGTTTCATTCAGACTGAGCTCGACCGTCTGCACAGAGTCACGTAACGAGCGCTCCTCTGTGGTGCCCCCCCCCGTCAGCTTTACTGAC